AATTCTGCTAAAGAGGATTCATTTGAATGGCAGCACCGCATAATTTCTTAAAAAAATTTAAAAATCGTCGAGCGATATTAAACTTAATTGTGGTTTAGAAATGAAAAAATTGTAAAACTTCGTCTAGAGTAAAGGCGAAATGTAAACCCCAGGAAGTATCTATACCCTTGTTTGACATTCAAGAATCGAAGGAAATGAACGAGGGCCCCCTCCCCCCGGGGGGGGTACTCCCTTATTTAAGCCATATAGGTATGTGCCGCCCCAAAGGGTACGGTTTTTGAGCCGTTTTCGTCGGGTATAGACTTTGCCCAGTTTAATTGGTCTAGATTTTCGAGGGACCTACGGGAGTGTATGAACGTACAGTCAACTCTCTGTAAGACGGAAACCTTCGGGACCGGCACTAAGTGTCCGTCTTAGAGAGGTGTCCATCTTATAGAGAGTCAAATAAAGGGAGTAAAGATAGGCAGGGATCAACTCTAGGTGTCCGTTTTACAGAGGTGTCCGTCATATAAGGTGTCCGTTAAGAGGGAGTCGACCGTATTTATGGTTTTAACTCCAAACTGAGTAAGAGGGAAAGAGGCGGATACGCGAATTCAAAACGAATTTTAAGAAATTTTTTTGTTGCTGTTTTAATCTAAGTAACGAAGACATAATTTCTTAAAGGCCAGGTCTGAAAGCGGGTGTGCAAAATGACATTTTAGGTGTGATATAGCGGTCAGGATTTGGAGAAAGGGGCAGCACACCCTCACCAAGAACTCCAAGGAGTATCCTCCGGGGAAAAAACGTTTTCGGACCGGCCGTAATTCGCCACCTCTACTAGAGTAGTTGATCCGTAAACCCAGTCGCTAGAACAAAGTATAAATAAATTTTCTGACATACCTCCGATGTTTCAAGCTTATTTTCTTTACTTTCGAGTCCCCCACAATACACTCTACCTCCCCCACCCCACCCTCAATCTATGCCCCTGGCCGGGTTTTACTCCTCCGTCCCTCAGCCTGCGTCCCCACACTCGCGCGCCCAAATTCCACCTTTCCCTTCCCCTTTCAACACCGGCCACACAGGCTATCCGTCCCTAGCCTGGCCGAACTCTTTATATTTACAAACAATCATGTTCATAGTTCTGAAAACGTGCATGTGGAGTTTGCAATCACACTCTCCTCATACTATCTTCTGTGACAAAGGTAAAACTCCTAAGTCCCTTTGTCAGCTGCCTTTGTACCTTTTATTGTTAAGTCAGCTTCTCACACTTGAATCTTCGTGCTAAAGTTTAAGTGTGTTAAATCCTTTTTCACGTTTTTCCAAAGTTTATTTTATCGTGACCAAATTTTTTTCGTCAGTGCTAAAGTTTAAGTGAGTTAAAACCTTTTTCACGTTTTTCCAAAGTTTACTTTATCGTGACCTTGTAAAACCTTTTATGTAACTTTAAAAAAACAATGGCCAATATCAAGTAGCTGTAAAGCGTCCGCAGTCTTCAAGGCACGTAAAAGCTCGGTTTTATATCTAGCGGAACGAAATTCTCGAATTGTGAAATCATTGATTCCACAGACTGCAACAATAGGTCTTCTAGACATATTACAAAATACAAGTGACCCCAGAGAGGAATTCTATATGAATGCACATTGTAAAATTACTTTTAAGAAACGAATGACGTTGTTAAGTGGGTGCAGAGATTAAGAGCTCTCACTAAGGTTGCCAGGGAAGTGTCAGAAGCGGTCAGGGAGACGTAAAAGTAGGCGGCCTGAAGGCGTTTTTGGGGGCGTATGAGGTGGTGTGATCAAGGTATGATGGGGGTGTGGTGCTCACATGACTTGTTGTTGTTGTTGACTAGCACCTGTGCATGCGATATGGAGACTAAGGCAACGCAAAATAAAGAGAATTATGTAAACGTGGAACGAATTCATCTGATCGTAAAAACGTGCATCAGTATTCCTCTTTATGATAGAATGCGCTGTTTTGCAATTTCAATTTCAAGTAACATGAGACAGCTGAAATGTAACAATACTCTGTAAAACATTTGGCAATTAGCATGGATCAGGTGATTGTCTTTGCTTATCAAGTTGCTCGCAAAGTTCTCACAAAGAGCGCAAATGATACTACGTGTGAGACACGCGTGGCGTGAGAGAAAGGTGGGGTGGGGGTGTGTAACGTGGTGTGTCTTGCTTAGTGCTTTTTTCCATGCCTGTCAGTTCAACGATTATGCACACAGCTCAGTCTCCCCACTTTGCCTTGAAAAATCTGTGGAAACTTGAAAGCTCTTCGTGTGAAGATTGTTAGCTTATTAGAAAGCACCGAACCTCAAAATATTAGAAATTCTTTCGAACATGGTTTTGTAACCAGCGGGCGAAAGCCCTGGTCGGGACAACAGAGCCGTTCCCGCAATTTCGCTAGTAAACGCTTCAATCATCGCCTCTAAAAATTCTAGTTGAGTCATTTGCTTAACTCAAGTTTGTCAATCATTTCTAATACTTTCTTTAGCCAACATTTCAATCAACTTGCAGTTTGTCGCTTAGCTTACCTAGAGCTGTTTCACATTTCATCGTTTGTGGAATAAACTTCCTTCAAAGGAAGCCTGACTGGTATTTCTTTAAAAATAACAAAACTTTATTTTGCTAATAGTAAACGTTTCATAGGAATGTTTGCTTACTTGAGCTTTATTCTCGCTGAATTCCTGCTGAAAAGCTTCCAAAATTAAGAGAAGTTTCAGATGAATTAGGCAGCCATTACTTATAAATTGAAGATCACAAGCCACCCTCCTTTGAGCTTTAATAGCCGCTGTGTCGCAGACACTCTGGGCATTCTGTATACAATGCGTGGGCCGGCTGCACAGCTGACTCCAACTCAGGTAAAAGTGGCTGGGAGACAGGCCAGAAGCGACGGCTGTCTCCGAGGCTATACAAACCCGAATAAAAAACAAAGCTTTTGGTACTCATAAAGAAATATCGGGAAACCTCAAGTCGCTTTTCTCCTAGCTGTTTTGTTATCAGTGTCTATATTTTTGTCTCGGATAAAACAGGAGGATTTGGCTGGCGTCATTTTTTATTAAAAGCTAGATTTCTTCACCAACTCAGTTTGTTTTTCCGGTAGGATGGACAATGAACAAAGCCCATGCCAAAAACTCCGGCACATTTGTGCAGTCTTTCCGCTTCCGATCTTTCTCGCGGCACCTAGTCTAAGTACTCCAAGTAACTGGGAAACAAAACCACCTCTAGGAAATAGAATATTTTTATCTGTGGTCAGTCTTTCTTGGAAGTTTAGCGTGGAGCAGGTGTTTTTAAACAAATTGTAGAATAAATGTCAATCAAAATTGGCCGGTTTCGAAATAGGAAATTGCTGAATCCTGGTATTTACGAAGTCAATCTTTTTGACAGGGCAAGAGCTAACGCTCTTTCGCTTGAACGCCGATAAAAACAACCTCAAGTTAGCGTAATGAATCTAGCTTATACTGTTTTATAGTACTATTTCTAGACTGCATTGTCTAACAGTCTTGAACCCCACAGAAAACAAAAGGCAACATGCAGCTACGCTTATAAAAATAGTTCATTACAAAACAGACCAGGAACTACGCCACAAATAGCAAAGCGTCTAGCCGCCAAGAGAGGCGTGAAAACTGTGATTATTTCCAGAAAAAAATCAGCATGTTCTTTTCTTATCGTTTATTATCCTGCTATACGCTCTGGCAGGCAAAAGCAGTTATCGTTTCCCATAAAATGAAGCTCGCGTTAAAATCTGTGAATGCTGAAACTCCTTGCGCGCGATGCCTTATCTCTGACGGAGGTGTTAATCACTCATCCGTTTGAAAACGGAAGTTGTCCCCAATTTCCTTATTGGGAAATCGAGCTGGAAACACACGCCTCAAATGTCACATGCATGAGCGTAGAAAGGCCTCAAAGTTTTTTGTCTTCCTATTTCATGCTAATATCTTGCACATTTCTTAGACCAATAACACGAAATGTCAAATAGACAGGGTGGACAGAAATGTTGTAGGAATTCCGTTCTTCTTGCGTAGTGGGAATAAGAAGGCGGAAGTGCCCGCGAGAACGCACACGTGTCCTTCTATCTCGCGCGTACAGCCATTCTTTCTTGTGTGAACAAAATAACTTATACTTCAATAACTTATACACCATTTCAGCCCTTAAGTATGTCACACGACTGGGGAAATCGAAAACAAAAAACGTAGAAAAGATGTATGTTCTAAATCTCCTAAAGGGAGTAAGAAAACTCTTTCTAAGAAATTGAACTTTGATCATTGCCATGAATAAACACTTATCAGTTTGGATATCTCTACAAAGTCTAACTTTGCCAGGAGGAACTCCACATCAAGGAAACTTAAAAAACAGTATTTCGTTTCGCTACAAGTCCCTTTCAAAAACAAAAGGGTTAATACCCAACTGTAGTAGGACAAAACAGATTCTGGGAAGTAAAAAGCCACTACTGAATTTGAAATATAATTGAGCATCACAGCTCTTCTAGCAATAACTAGTTCAAAGGCTCTGCTATGCCATCTCTATTTTAGTTTTCCTTTAAGTTGTCTTTCGTCACTCCTAATCCCACTGCCCACTTGTACTCCGTTCACCCACCCACACATCCTAGAATCCACCCATCTCTGCTCAGTCATTAAGCAAGACATTGCTCTGATGTAAAATCTACCTTTCTTTTATTTACATTCTTTAATAAAACTCTCTTAATATACAAGCCAATATGGCATAATTTAGACAAATATTATGTACAAGGCCCAAACTTTTGAAAATTCTATTCCTTTTTTTACATTTTGACATTTTTTTTTTATGGTTCATTTTATGAATGTTTGTGGAGAACAGAAACAACGCGAGAGACAAAAATTATTTATAACACGAACGAGGAAGGCACCTAACCTTATAGCTCACGATCCTACAAAACTTCTGAAAGTTTGCTTCAGCAAGCTTAAGCTTAGGCTTGTGCAACAGTCAACATAGTCTATGAAGTCCAAAACAAATGTTCACAACCGTGTTGTGTTGTCTTTTTCATAGTACACAAGGACCAGGTGTTTCAAGACTCGGGTCTACTGCATACATTTCTGTCCAGGAGCACCGTTGAGGAAGGACACCTGCCATGTAGGGGTAGTCAGAACCTTCTAAAAACACTCGAAGTCTCATGGCGACTCTTCGACTGTGTACAGAACCACCAAGAAGAACACATTGCACGCCATAAGGTCTCCAGGTGAAGTTGTTGCCTGTAAAATGGTGTTTAACCGTGGCAAGCGAGGGAGGGATCTCAAATCCAGTCTTGTCAGTTACAAGAAGAAATGCATCAGCCTCATTCACTTTTCGTTCCAAAAGCTTCAGAGGTTCTTCAAAAACTTGGCAGAGGCAAGCTTGTGTGTCTTCATACATCAATAACGGTACAGTAACATTGGCACATTCTGCAAAAAAAAATCAGAGGATTGTTTGAAAAATGGCCAACATAGTCAACATTACACTCACAACATCAAGCCCACGTGGTATTGTCACCGGAAGTCCAATACCCAGTAAATTTACTGAGAAGGCCCACTTACATTTCCGGTTCTTAACAATACCTGGCTGATAGAAGGATTTTTTTCTAACAAAACCCGCAAGGTTGAAAAACAAGTGGAAAATTAAGTCTGTCCCAAGAGAATGGACGGAATCATTGGAACAGCTAATCAATCGCCTGCAGTAAAAATGAATCACTCTGCTTCAGGGCACCACATCACTTGGAAAAGTTACAAAAATTGCAACATTTCAGGGGTGAAATAAAACGCACGATGAAATGAAATAGAAAAGTTGATGGGTCTTTCGGGAAAACGAAAGGAGTTTAATTGAAACGCGCCGCTGTACTATTTGAATTGCAAATCCCTTCCCTTTTGTGTAATAAAAACAAGTTCGAACAGATGACGAATTCAGTGCTATTTCAGGCGATTACAAAAAACACCCCTTAAGACAATTTCAATAAACTGTTTTAAAGAGAACATCCCGAGACACATCGAAGAAAAAGCAAAACTACAAGTTTAAAATAGAAATTAATTACCAACGAAAATTGTTTGCTATGAAGGGCTGGATAACAGCCAAAGTTCAACAATACTATTGTTCACTGCTGGGACTTTTCCCTTTTGCGGTGAAGCGTTGAAGAGAAAGCGAAAATCAAAAACTTGATCAGAAATTCAACTTACCGAATAGAGTTATCTGGTGACCCTCATTGCAAAGCTGTTTAAGCATATACTGCGCCTGGTGAAGACCATGGCTACTCGATGCAAAATCGGCGAACAATACGATCTTCATGCTCTGTGGAGATCTGGTCATTTGAGGTGAATGCCAGCTCTGAAATAGAAAAAAAAACAACTTGTTGAATAAGCATCATTCAATTAAACGACATTTATATGCTCACAAGTGCAAGCGCAATGTAGAATTGCATCATGAAATGAACATCACGGGTTTTTAGCGTGTCAAAAAATGATGCTAAGCACAGCCGATCAAACACAAATCCCCAAGTCAAAGGTCTGTCATTCTGTTTACAGAATAAAGATCACAAGAAAAAAGCGAGCTAAAATCCCTGCCATTTAGACCTGTACTTTGTTTATAAGCTAAGCTCAAACTTGCAAAAACATCACATAACTGATGTAAATAATTTAGTATTTACCAGGATATCGGTCACGTTCGCGGCAGAAATAGTTTATCGTATCCTAGTTAAAGCAAAGACGTTTTGCAACACACCGAATTGTGAAAAAAAAGAAGAATTTTAAACCTACTTTCCAAGTTTGTTGCAACAAAGAGCTCGCAGCTTTGAGTGAGCCGCGTACTGTTCTGTCGGAAAAGACGTTAGAGTGAATCGCAAACAGTCTACATCCACGATCGACTACGTGGACTCGCGTATGAAAAAAATTTGACACGTTCATATTTTAAGGAACCTTTTTTAAAAACTACAGATCTCTCAGCGGGATAAGTAATAAAATAGCTCTCATGTCACATATCCATCACGTTCAAATCGACTGACGAGCGTGCCGAATTTCACACGGAATTCAGCTCACGTTTATGAATCCTTAAAATTGCACAATCGAACTAGAGAAACATTTTCCACATAAACACGAATACGTCTCAACTCCTCAAAGCAGCCTCGTCAGCAAAGCTAGCGAACAAAATGCAAACGAATGAACTTTTTTGGTGAATTGAAAGTGCTAACAATGCGCTTTCGAAGTGATTTGACTTCGCTATACCGCTGTAGTTCTTTAAATAAATTGGTCTTCTAAAAATTTCCACATCAAACATTAGCTGGCAAATCGCGAATAATCTACCGGAAACCAAACAGAAACAGAAATTCTTCGTCACTGTTGGCGAGGATTCAAACGGGCCGATTAAAAGTTCTACACCAGTTTGAAATAAGCAAGCTTATAAACAACACGATGAAATTGACATTGCGCTGTGGAGCAAACCCAAAGCGAAATGGTTTTAACTTCGAGAAGCAGAGCAAAAATGAAAACCTACCATGCTAGAGCTTGAAAGTGTTGTGTTTCCTTTGCACATTACGCCTACAATCAGCTCGTTCACAGCGTTTCCTACTTTCAAAAACCTTTCCACGAACCTTGTACACAAGAAAGCACGAATAACTGTTTGTTCGCCAGGTTTTATTGCTTGACAAGTGCTATGACGTCACGACACAGATGAAAAAGCCAATCACTGCTATATCACGCCTCGCACGTTCTGATTCCGATCGCACCATCTCATTGGTTGTTTCACAATGCGTTTTTGATGTTGTTGACATATAGGGTAAGTCCCAGATGACGGTTGCAGGCGAGGCCTTTGAGTGAATATAACAATGGAAGAATGGCTGCGAATATTCATGATGAATCGAGACAATGAGAAAAACCTCAGAACAGGCTCTTTGTAATTCTGCTCAAGCGAAACAAAAACCAACTCGTGATTTGCGAGAAACAAAACACATGAAAACACAAAACGTGCGAAAATTAATCAAATCGTTCACCTCGCATGTGATAGGCTGATCAAACTACAATGCCACCTTGTTCTTGCACTTCAGTCGAGATATCACTTCGCGTAATTAGTACACTTTCGATCGGCTTTTATTGTCTTTTACCGCCTTGTTGACAAAAATCAGAAACCAAGAAAAGAATGTGCTTGTCCTATAATCACTAGAGCTCATTTCAAAGCCAAGCTTGTCGTTAGTTCATAGAGTACAAATTTGTTTTCATGTTGAAACTCACGTATTCAATTTTGCCCATATCGGATGTATACGTGCTTGCTAAGACCCGCGACGTGACCCCTTTAATTTTCAGGGTCCATATTTACTTTATATCTGCTGGAAGCCCGGAGTTAATTTTATGAGAATCATTATCAAAGAAGTGACTGCTTTTAGCTACTGGTGATTTTGTTCTCTCCACAAAAAATATTCAAAAGAGCCGTCAGGATCCGTCAGGGAAGATTTTAATGTATGCTATATTTTCCATTAAGATATAATGTTTATTATTTTAACTACAAATTTCCACCAGTTTTCTCACTGAAATCCCAAGGTCTAAGCACCGAGTTTAATAGAGCTCGCAGTTGTTCATAAGTGGAGAAACCTTCTGCCAAAAAACCAACAAAAAATCCGAGGCGAAAAAAGGAAGGGGGTAATGTCTCTGATCAAAGCTGGCACATTTTCGATTTTCAGTGATAAAACATCATTGTTAATTATCAGTGATTTTAAGCCAGAGTTTCAACAAGTGCTATGACGTCACGACACAGATGAAAAAGCCAATCAGTGCTATATCACGCCTCGCACGTTCTGATTCCGATCGCACCATTTCATTGGTTGTTTCACAATGCGTTTTTGATGTTGTTGACATATAGGGTAAGTCCCAGATGACGGTTGCAGGCGAGGCCTTTGAGTGAGTATAACAATGGAAGAATAGCAACGAATATTCATGATGAATCGAGACAATGAGAAAAACCTCAGAACAGGCTCTTTGTAATTCTGCTCAAGCGAAACAAAAAACAACTCGTGATTTGCGAGAAACAAAACAAATGAAAACACAAAACGTGCGAAAATTAATCAAATCGTTCACCTCGCATGTGATAGGCTGATCAAACTACAATGCCACCTTGTTCTTCACTTCAGTCGAGATATCACTTCGCGTAATTAGTACACTTTCGATCGGCTTTTATTGTCTTTTTCCGCCTTGTTGACAAAAATCAGAAACCAAGAAAAGAATTTGCTTGTCCTATAATCACTAGAGCTCATTTCAAAGCCAAGCTTGTCGTTAGTTCATAGAGTACAAATTTGTTTTCATGTTGAAACTCACGTATTAAATTTTGCCCATATCGGATGTATACGTGCTTGCTAAGACCCGCGACGTGACCCCTTTAATTTTCAGGGTCCATATTTACTTTATATCTGCTGGAAGCCCGGAGTTAATTCTATGAGAATCATTATCAAAGAAGTGACTGTTTTTAGCTACTGGTGATTTTGTTCTCTCCACAAAAAATATTCAAAAGAGCCGTCAGGATCCGTCAGGGAAGATTTTAATGTATGCTATATTTTCCAGTAAGATATAATGTTTATTATTTTAACTACAAATTTCCACTAGTTTTCTCACTGAAATCCCATGGTCTAAGCACCGAGTTTAATAGAGCTCGCAGTTGTTTATAAGTGGAAAAACCTTCTGTCAAAAAAACAACAAAAAATCCGAGGCGAAAAAAGGAAGGGGGTAATGTCTCTGATCAAAGCTGGCACATTTTCGATTTTCAGTGATAAAACATCATTGTTAATTATCAGTGATTTTAAGCCAGAGTTTCATTCTTTAAAATCATTTCTCCTCGAATTTTATGAGTCCTGGTATTAAAAAATATTGCTAACTACTGCTAAGGATTGGAAGTCGAAGCTCAATATCTCACAATGGTTATTGGACTTATGTAAGCTACAGTACGTACCGTGTTGTTTTTTGAGATATTGGACGTTTTCTGCATTTAAGCTTTATCTTGCTGACCTAAATCAAAACGTTCCATACCCTACTTGCAACGACAACTACAGACTACTAGTTTCGCTTTGTTTGATTCCCAAAGACACCTGCCATGTCAGCAGAAATATGCGATAGCCCAGAATTTGTCAAAACTTGTTGATAATTGTAGACGATCGATCAGTACTGTCAATACTGGATACGAGCCATAAAACCGATAAAAATAGGTCATAACTAATTTCTTTTGACAGGAAACGATTGACCACCGTTAAAAGAACCGCATACACGAGCAAAAAATTTTAATTTGCATTTCTACCGTGGCTAATTTGCCCAGACAGTTTGTTTTTTGAATTATTATAAAGTTAACGAGGTAGTTTTTGATAATTCTCCAAAACAATACGTTTTGCAGGTCAAAATATCAAGCTGGGTGGAAAATGTTAGCCGCGTCACATGATTATTTGTTATTTTCGCTTGGACACACCCCTCAATCCACCCATAAAGGACCCTTTAGGAAAAAGCAGCTTGTCTTTTCCGCCCGTAAGCTCTTGTAAATGATAGATCCGTTTTATTCACTTCATTTCTTTTGTTATTCAACAAATCAGAGACGAGATATTACAAGATTGAATCTTAATTAAGGCAAGTTTAGACAAAGACCCACAAATCTCTTAAGTTGTTTTCAGTTGTGTCTGATCAATAAAATTTCAAGCTAATCTAGATCTTGCCTCACCGAAAACTAAACGAGTTCTCTACGTATCAGCGTAAAATTTGAGTTGAGACAATTCACAAGCCTTTCGGCGAGCTGAATTGTGAGAGTACATTACACTAAGCTCTTAGCCAAGTTGAAAAAACAAAACGTCTTTGTTGCATCGACCATTGTGCTAAGTAAAGTGATCTATCTGACAATGAGTTTCCGCTCTAATTATGTGGATGTTTCAAGTAAACAACACTAAAGGAAGAGAGATGTGTCTTGTTGATGAGGGCAAAGTTATTCCGTTAAAGCTCTGTCCATGAAAACCACAATTTTACGAAAGTGGCTACTTTGCGTGGATTTGAGTTGAAAGTTCAAGAGTCGACTACCTCTCACCATGAAACATCACTGTGGCACCGAATCTTTTCGTGGACTGATCGAAGTCAGAACGCTCAGCTATCCAGAGCAGGTCATTGATGTCTGTTTTAAAATGTCTATCAAGCCTAGCAAGTTTAGTTCTGCCAAGGGTTTTTGGACATGAACTTTTCTAAAACTATGCCCCCAAAAAGTCACTGGAAAGGTGGAGAACGAACTTGGGCGTGAATCGGTCGAACTTCACCCCTTTGCCATTAGCACGAAGACCTACATCTAGCTTTCACATAGCCAGTTTTGAATATTTTTAGGGTTTTTAATTTACTTCATCAAAACGAACTATCCTTGAGCGAGCTGCACAAATGTCCTTGCGTTTTTTCCTCGGCTCTATACGTGACCTATTTTTGCAATTTCTATATGATCTTATTTCACAGAGCTTAGCTGATCAGATTGGTGCCTCTTGGATTGGTTCAAAGAAGTTTCATGATATCTCTGTTTCGATTTTAGGCTCTGCTCGATGTATAATATTTCACAGTAAGATGGAACAGAATTAAAGCAACACCGATCGTCCTTTCGCTAGTTTTCGCAACGAATAATAATGAATGTTAGCCAGAGCAGCAGAGATAAAAACAATGGAGATTAAAATCCAACGGAAAGACTTTTAAGTTTTAGAATTTCTCTTTCTATTTTTTTTACGAGCTTTAGACTACGCTCCTCTAGACTCAGATAATACGACTTACATTTTTGCTGGCTATAAATTACAAAATACTAAAACAAAACAAAACAAACAATATACGTTTAAGTCTTCAATACCCTAGATCCCCGGTGGTTTATTATCTTTTTTCAGTTTTAAACAGTTTGAAACTGTTAAGTGAAACTCTCACTGTTAAAGACGACACAAATCAAAATATTTCGTCATTAAAACTAAGGATTAACACTGTAAGTGAGGTTGATCCTAGTTTTGAAACAAAAAATCCGAGGCGAAAAAAGGAAGGGGGTAATGTCTCTGATCAAAGCTGGCACATTTTCGATTTTCAGTGATAAAACATCATTGTTAATTATCAGTGATTTTAAGCCAGAGTTTCATACTTTAAAATCATTTCTCCTCGAATTTTATGAGTCCTGGTATTAAAAAATATTGCTAACTACTGCTAAGGATTAGAAGCCGAAGCTAGCTCAATATCTTACAATGGTTATTGGACTTACCAGTAAACTACAGTACGTACCGTGTTGTTTTTTGAGATATTGGACGTTTTCTGCATTTAAGCTTTATCTTGCTGACCTAAATCAAAATGTTTCATACCCTACTTGCAACGACAACTACAGACTACTAGTTTCGCTTTGTTTGATTCTCCAAGACACCTGCCATGTCAGCAGAAATATGCGATAGCTCCGAGAATTAGTCAAAACTTGTTGATAATTGTATACTGTCAATACTGGATACGAGCCATAAAACTGATAAAAATAGGTCATAACTAATTTCTTTTGACAGGAAACGATTGACCACCGTTAAA